TTATAGACATATCTGAAAACTGGCTGCTAGCGGAGTGGCTGCTAGCGAGTGGCTGCTAGCTTGAGTCTAGCATAAATCGTCCAAAGTCTATAAAAATTATGAACAGATTACAAAGACACAATAAAAGATCTGCCTTTAACACATTTCTTTTAACAAAAAAAATTTAACATATGACATAGAATAAGCATTGACAGAACTCTTGACTTAGGACAGGTACATGAATATATGGCTGTGTTAAACATGTTAAACTAGATATTTGATACCTCAATCCTCGATCGTCTTCTTTTTATCTCGATCGGTGAACTATATGTATGTCTTCTAATCACATTGTACAATCGGGCAGAGGTTAGAACCGAGATTTATGGCAAGTCGTTTTACTATGTATTCTAACTTCAAGATATCTAATTAACTTTATAAGATATCTCATATAAACTATATGAGATATCTTTTAAACTATATAATATATCTTATAAACTATATAAGAAATCTTATAAAAACTAAATTATACAAGATATCTAATAAACCTTGTAAGATATGTTATAAACCTTAGAAGATATCTTATAAAGTATATAAGATATCTTATAAAGTTTATAAGATATCTTATAAAAACTAGATTATATAAGATATCTTATAAAGTTTATAAGATATCTTATAAAAACTAGATTATATAAGATATCTAATATATTTTATGAGATATCTTATATACTATATAACATATCTTATATATTATATGAGATATCTTGAAGTTATAATAAATAGTAAAAGGGCTTGCCATAGAGATTACCCGAAGTTAGGTTGCTATTGCAAAAACTACAATGATTATTTCCTGCATGTACCCTATAAGATGCTAAGTTATACATCTTTTGCAAGTTTTGGGGCGTCCTGATGAAGGTCCAGAAAAGCGCCTCTGATCTGAGATTACTATTACACATTGTGTTATAGTAATCTCAGGTCGTATGTACCCAATTTATAAAGTGTTATTTTCATTTCCAAACTTGGCTTCTTGTGTTGATATATGAGGGTCTGGATGGAGTTTACAAAATAGAAAATAATGGGTAAAATGTAAAGAATAAAGGGCAATAATTTAAAGAAGAGAGAAAATTAGCAAAAAAAAAAAGAATATATATATGCCAGTTGTTTATATATACTTCCGTTATATTGACAAAATTAAATGAGCAACTCAAACAGATATAATATGTTATTGTGACAATAATTGGGATCCAGTAGACAAAACTGTGTAAACATACATAACAGACATAAAACACAACTGACTAAAAAATTCAAAGAAACCTACAAATTAATCTAACAAAGACGCCAACAAAAAAGTTGTTGTAGTTGATAGCACATAACGTATATAGTAAGCGCTTTCTTGCTGAAGTGCAAATTTAGTAAAACATAAATACAAGGATAAACAAAACGAAAACAACACTGTAAAATCCGCTTGCGTCCGAATTGCACCTTAGGATGCACCTGCACCAGCAACGCCCAGAGTCAAAAATTAGATAGCGAGATGCATAAATACCGAGTCACGCCAAAAGAAACATATTAGCACGAGGACAAATAAAGGAAAAAAATGTCAAGTAAATGAATAGATACACAACTTCAGCACCTTGAATCTATAACTCAAGACCATCTTGTATTACTTGTGAAGTAGACACTGACTATTTATCTATTAGGTCTTGGTACTTTCCCATGAACTTTTTGAGAAAAAGGACGAGACGTTTCATAATTGAAATAGTCTCATTTGTCATAGATTCTGGTACTGAGATGACCGCTGTTGTCAAATTCGAGGTAAATGTTTAGAAATAAGGCTGAGGGAGCTGTATTTGTGGTTTCTTTATCTCTAGTTCAGGAGGATACATTAATTGATCAATAAATCAGAAACGTTTGGATTGGTAATGGAAAGAATATCATCAACATAACTGTGTGTGAAATTAAATGATCTGACTTTTTTTATCTTCTTGTTTTTTTTACAAGTGTCTGAAGGAACTCCAACTAATATGAAAATAAGAAAGGTCAACCAGGAGAGGTGTACAACCTGCAGGAAAATTCTACTTCCAAATTCAACAAAATAGGTCATCAATGAGAAACTCCAGCATACTGATCACTTGTTCTTCTGTGTAACATGTTTAAATGAAAAGCAGAAATCATGAACGTTGAACGCTAAATTTATAAATAACGAAGTTGAAACATGATCACTGAATGTGCCGAAACATGATCAAAATCCGCATTTCATTTCTTCTTCTTTGGATCAACAAGGCTTCAATACTGAAGAATACATGTTGTTGCGCATGCGTGATTGACGAAAAATTATACCAATTCATAAAAATATTTAATAACAATTTATTTAAGTGTTTGTATATACAGATTGTAATTAAAAATATAACTTTTATGTACATATTTTGGTTCGAACTTGTTTATTTGAAGCTGGAGAGAACAGCTGATGTTAGCTGATCTCTGAAGCTGTCAACAGAGATGGTTTCGATAATAGTTTGAGGTAGCAAATTCCATTGTATGATAGTCCGCGGGAAATATGACCATTTGTATGTGTCCTTGGAAGTTTGGATATGTCTGAATATCTGTGTATGGTTTTGTCTTGTTCTGCTTTCTGTTTGCTCAAAAACATGCGATGGAATGGCTACAAGATAGTGTATTACTTTATAAAATAAAATAAGTCTGGTTTTTAAACGTCTCTCAGCTAGTGGTGGCCATTCTAACTGATTTAACATGTGTGTGACACTGCTCGTGTAATCGTAGTTGTTGTGTACGTATCGAGCTGCTCTTCTCTGTACCTTTTCTAATTTTATTTGTTGGTCTTTCATATGCGGGTCCCAGACACTACAACTATATTCTAGTTTGGGTCTTACTAGTGCCTGGTATGCTCTTGATTTTATTTCTGTGTTTGCAACTTTTAAATTTCGTTTTAAAAAACCAAGTGATCTAGTCCCATTTGATACTATATTGTCTATATGCTTGTTCCACTTTAGATTAGATTGTAGGGTAATGCCGAGATATTTTACAGATGTTACTGATTCGAGAATGTGGTTGTGAAGGATGTAATTGTGCCTGTAGTTATTTTTCTTTTGTGAGATAGTAAGGTTGGTACATTTATCAGGGTGAAGTGCCATGAGCCATTCTGATTCCCATCGTGCTGCTGAGTCTAGATCGAGTTGTAGTTTATGGCAATCATCTTGTGTTTTTATTTCCCTGTAAATTATGCTGTCATCCGTTGATTTTTTGATTATTGATAATCAATGTTATCAGTTTTACCTTTATCGTTATTTATGTTTTATTATTCGAAAAAGTGATAATGTGTTATCATGTTTCATTTCTTTTTTTTTCATCTTAGATGATCATGTTTTGAAAAAAACTATCTCATTTTCTCATTTGCTCGCTTGTCTCTCCTTCTCCCCCCTTTTTCTCCTTTCTCTCGCCCCTTTTCTCCTTTCTCCCACCAATTCTTCCCTGTCTACCTTCACCCTGTCTGCCCCTCATCTTCCGTTATCTTCAGGGGCGGATCCAGGATTTTGGAAAGGGGGCGTAGTATTAAAGTTCGCCGAGCGGAGCGGGGCGAATAATTTTTTGGACTTTTTTTTTGGCTAAAAAACATAAAATAAGTGAAAAATGCATTTTATAGTTAAAGTGTAGGGGTTGGACATTTTTGGTGCCGTATTCTCTCCATTAATTGTCTATTATAGAATGATTGGATGGATCCAAAACTATGTACTAATTAATATATCTGATGTGGGATTTGTCAGTAAAAAATGGAGATGGAAAATTCTCGTTTGTTGTATGGTTAGTTAGCATAACCTCACAGATTTCTTGTTGTAAACAAGATATACGGCTATTCAATGAAATTTACAATACGACCGACACGAAGAAAGACAAACAAGCAATTTTTATCCAAATGTTTGGTTGAAATGTTTCAACCAACAAGGGAAGTGAGGGGTTCCAAATCAACCAAAGGCTATGAATGAGTTGGAAATGACAATGAAGTTGTGAATAACGGTCGACACATGGAGACATATAGGCCACACCCAGCAGGCAGGTTGCAGTCGGGCCTTGAAAAAAGTATTCAGTATATCAGTTCGGCGAAACAGACATTCCGGTCAGATATGGGATTCACATGCAACCCCCCCCCCCCCCCAAAAAAAAGAAAAAAATTACGCCCGTTTTTTATTCATCATGTTCATTTAATGCTAAATAATTTTGTTGAAAATATTTTTTTCTAATAGCAATAAAGTGGACAAGATTATTGTTTTCAATCCAGATACGGCCCGAATTTTTGTTTAAGGCAAAAATTAGGGTCAGAAATGTTTCTCTTAAATATCTCAGACTGCCCCCTCAAATCAAATCGTCCGTATACCTTAGACTTTAAATCTATATCTAGAGCTTACTGACTGGGGATCACTATTCAGCAATGTTATCAATGGGCTGGGGCGTGTGGGGTTAAACATGTTTTCGTAGGTAAATAATATTGCTGTGGAACTTTTTTTTTTCATGAGAGTGTAATAGAGTATTACTTTCTGTTGGGTGGAATTGTGAAATAGAAGTCAGTACGTTCTTGCTCAATACTTTGTCGCTTTGAAGGCGTCATGCTTGTCATCCTCAGCCTAGAGCAATGCACGTGTTACTGTAATTTGAATTTCAAAATGACTGAGTGACGTTTTTTTCGACGTACTGGTCAACTCCACCGTAGCGAATCACACGACTTTGACATAATCAATAATATATTACAGTAAATACGAGCGAAAAATATTTTTATAAGTAAAGACGGGAAATGGCAAAGTTCGCGAAGTCTAGTCTGATTAATAATTTTACCAAAAAAAAAAAAAGTGCAAGCAAAGGGGGCGTACGCCTTCTACGCCCCCCTCTGGATCCGCCACTGATCTTTGTAAGAACATTACGACACGGATAGCACTGTTACGTTTAAAAGAACCGCGCCTGTAACTTAAATTACATAAATTTTAAACCAATCAGATTTCTCAAAATAATTCAGTTCGTTGTAACATCCGGGAAATCAGCGCTTGCCCGTTTCGAAGATCAACAAAAACAGATAATGGTATGTTATTTATATAAAATGGACAATATTATACACTATTTTGCCTTTTTTCTTTCCATAATATTCATCTCCGAACATGTTAAAAAAGAACAGATGATAAGAAATCTATGAGACAAAAATAATGACTAACAAGACATGAACTTAATTTTGAGCAAGACTGAGCTTGCATGAGCGGCACAATGTAATTTTGTGTGTGTCAATTAACCACTTTTCACTTTCTGTAAAAAAAATATTGTATGATGCAGGTGTTGCTTGTAAAAGAGGAAGAAGGCTGTAAACTTGCTATGTGCAACAGTTTTACCTTTTTAACAAGATTGAAGAACATATATGCATTTTTTAAAACAAATAATTATTCAAGTTATTAAACTCTCAACATGTAGAAAAGAGTTTACAAAGCTATATGATATAGGGCATTAAAACTGGTATATTTATGGTTTTCTTCTTTCTCCCGTTCACGTTCGCACCCTTTTTATTGGTTTTGTGTTGAATACATTTTTAATTGTGTTTAAATAAGGGTAGTGCTATAAACAATTTTATTTTATTGTTTCCTAAAAATAAAGTGACATTCTTAAAACGTAAACACGTTTCCTTTAGCGTTTTATTAATTATTTTGAAGAAATGAATCATGAATAAAAGATTGTCATGAAGATTAACTGATTAAGGCAAAGTTCATTCATCTAACAGTCTTAAGACTTTTATTAAAAAGAAAGGCAGAAGATACCAAATCTTCATTGAGTTTACTCATACCAAGCTAGCTACAAAATGTACATGAAGTATTTACATCAAAGCTAGTTATAACAACAATCATGATTTTCAAACACAACAAAAAATACTAAATTTGTCTTTGTCAATACCAATTTAAAACAAATCAGTTTCATACATAATAAACATTTAATAATTAATCATCAAATCACAAAAAAAAAATATTTCATTTAAAAATTCCAGAATTTTTATTATTACAGGGTTGGCAAAAACCCGGGTTTTATGAGTATTGCCCAGCCCAGTGGGAAATACTGGGAAAACCGAGTTTTACTGGGTAATATGAAATACTGGCCTGAATTTTAAAGAGGATTCAGTGATTAATCACAAACGCAATACATTAAAGTCGAAGAATTCAATTTGGTTTTTTTAATCATGTTAATAAATATAATTAATATTAAGAATTAACAATTCTATGTAACATGTGTAAGGAAAATTACTTTTAAACATTTTTTGTTCATTACTAAAAATGTTTACTAAGTCTTAGCATACATGTATGTTTATGTACATCATGTACATCACTAATTAATAAGTAATTATTCAGATTATAATACATATTTGTTTATATAACAATAATCAGCCTTTTGATTTCTATAAGTGTTCATGGTCTGTCCCCTTAGGGTGTTAATTTAGCAATATGATTGTATAACAATTAAAATTTACAATTCAATAAAACACTGCAATAAAATGCATTTTTTCAACTTGGATTTAATATTGAAACAAGCTTGGAAATTAACAAGATATCCTGAAATGCCCAAAACTTGTATTCTGCCTACATAGAATTAGTGGAGGAAAGGAAGAAATTGAATTTTCAATCTTTAGGAATGACTCTCAATGGTTATCTGTATAAAATGTATATATTTAGCTATAATACTATTAAACTACAACATGTACAACAAGTCTTTGCTATTTTGAGTAAAAATTAGCTTGAAAAATCATATTACCCAGTATTACCCGTTTCTAGGAGTATTGCCCAGCCCGGGAAACCCCAGGTTTTCCCGCCCGGAATATTACTTTGCCAACCCTGATTATTAATGAAAATTAAAATTTTTTGATAAATACATCTAAAAACATCTAATAATTCAACCAGTATTTGAATAAAATAGGGGGCGAACGTCTATTGGGAGCGAACAGACCCGATACCGAGCACTACCCATAGGGTATATTGTCATGTGTTACTCATTGATGTGGCAATATTCTTTTTTCTTATCTTAGCTGTCAGGACCCCTTTTTCTCTATGTATTTGTTAATACACATTTTTTGATACAATTTAGGCTTAAATTAAAATATTGTTTGTTTGCAGTTTACCGACCGACCTTCGAAAATCCGCCCGACTGTGAACCTTTTATTGCTTTTAATTTGAAGAAATTATTTTTAATACTTCTATTTACTCGATCCGGAATTTCGGGTCGTTTCCGGAATTGATTTCGAGTCTAGGTCAATTACATGTTTGAAGTTTGGTTTTTCTTCCCTTTCTGTCAAGCGTTCATCAGACCCTTTAATGGTAAAGCACATGGAGATTGTTTACAGGTACAGTACTACCTGTGACATTATCTTAGGCTTAAATTAAAATATTGTTTGTTTACAGTTTACCGACCGACCTTCGAAAATCCGCCCGACTGTGAAAATTTTATTGCTTTTAATTTGAAGAAATTATTTTTAATACTTCAATTGACTCGATCAGGAATTTCGGGTCGTTTCCGGAATTGATTTCGAGTCTAGGTCAATTACATGTTTGAAGTTCGGTTTTTCTTCTCTTCCTGTCAAGCGTTCATCGGACCTTTTAATGGTAAAGCACATGGAGATTGTTTACAGGTATCCACGAAGTCATGGCCACAGACCACAATTAAATTCCCCTATTAGTTCTTTATAACGTTTTGTTTCATTGAAAAAATTGCACCATGCATTTTTGTCAAATCTTTTGTGTGTGTAATGTATAGAACTAGTCCAAAAATATATACAAAATTCAGAAAGATTGAACCAATGACTCTCACAAATTTAGCCAATACACATCCATACCCCTATGGACAAGTCAAGAGATGTTCTGAAAACTGTAAATATCACCTTTTTGCACCTGGCCTAATCACTCTTTCCATATCAAAATCAGTTTAAATACAACATCCAAAAGTTTATTTCACCTCTCTTCTTTTATTTCCACCAAAAAAAAACTAAGAAATGAGTGAGGAAAGGAAAGAAAAAAAATTAAGAAAAAATACACTCTGATTAAAAGGAACTATATTCGTAAGCGGGATCATTAATTGTGGTCTTGGGCCTATCATGGAGGAGTACTTTATTCTGTCGTCTTCTGTCAAGTTTAAGACAAATAATACACAGAAAAGTTTCATAGTAAACTGTTTATACTGATTCAGGCAGAATTGCACACAGAATGATGTCTTCGATGATATCATTGACGATGATGCAGCGGATATTCATAAAACCGACACGATAACCGTTTCTGTCTCAAACAAATCGGATACAGAATCTTTTGAGACTGACTTTATGGAACCAATATCAGTGGTTCAATAATTTGACAGCATCTTGAAGTATGCCATATTTTCTTTAAATCGTTGTGAAGACGACTAAGAGGAAACAGACTCCTCCGTGACTTCATGGATAACTGTAAACACGCCTGTACGGTGGAAGGACGCATTTGAAATGTTAAATCAATAAGAAGCCACACTAACTACACAAAGATGTACATGATGTAGAGAAAATGAATGGTTGGCTTGAGAAATAAATATATTCTCTCTGTATCAAATCTATCTTCGATTGCAATGAGTATGCTCCTTTAGGATAAGGGGGGCTGTCCCACTCATTGCAATTATTCTCTCTCTTACAATATTAAATATACCCAAAATGTGTGGCCTGTGTGAATTGAATTGAAATATGTCCTTAGCTAGGAGCTATGATGCCAATTTTTTATGCAGTCAAACATTTCAGTACAGACCATTTACTTTTAATGGGGTGCTATGAATTTCACCCCAAAGCTAGACTTAAGATTTTTGTTTGTTTTAATTAAAGCCTGGCATCAACATATCTTTCCAAATATAACCTTTATGTCAGATGTCTTATATATTTTTTTTTAAATTGTCTTTTTTTTATAATTGAGGAAGATTCAATCTTTTTTTAACACACTCCTAAATTGTCTTTTGAATCTTTAATATCTACATTTTTCTGATGCAAATACTCTACTCATGAAAACTTCTAGTAAAGATGCATATATATGTCAGTGAATATGTTTCTTTACAACAATTCTAGTCATTCCTTGTTTATAAGTGTTCCAGTATTTCATAATACCATAAATTTATGTCATAAATTGTATAATGACACTATGTTAAGTTTCAGTTTTGGTTAAAAAGGTGTTAACCTGAAAATGCCTGTTCATTTCATGTTGGTTTTCAGTGTTTGTTGTTTTAAAATTTTTTTTTCTTCACAAGAAACTTTGTTTGTGTTAAACTACTTGTTTAAACTTTATTCTGGCTGATAAAATAAAATATTTTTCCTACCTACCGACCCTGCAGTCTGAAGGTACAGTCGGAAAACTGCAAACAAACATATTTTTAAGGTTGGCCTTATTAATGGTGGCCATAAAAAATATGGTCACCATGATGGCCCTAAATGTCCATCATTATACCTCCTGTTGCTTAATTAATACACAAAAGGGTGATAAAGGGAAATCATGACTGCATCGAAGTGTTAAAATTATATAACTCACAGGTAAAGTGTCTCAGGTAAAATATATGTGTTTGTCAAATTTAATAACTGTGATTATGACAAGAAAATTCTAAAATAAAATGAAATAAAAAAACTAGTTGAACATATAGCTTCCTAACTTTTTTTTGGTAAAAATTTTCTCATGACTGTTTGTTTTGATGTTATACCTTTTAAATAATTCTATTAATTAAAGTTATTTTTTACATGTATTTTTTGGCAAGTGAATAATAAATGAGTATCATCTTCTAATATAATGCAAACTTTCACATCGCCTGCCTTTTTCCATTGAACGGGTGTTTCTCAAATTAATTTTCTAAAATCAAAATTGTTTATACTTACTGCATTTAACATGGTTAAACAAATGTTTAAGATGATCTTTAGGACTTATTCTAAATAAAATTTGGGCAATTCATTATTTTTCTATTGAATAAATACATGTATATTCAAAATATTCATTACAGAAAAAATTGATAATATTTTTGTTGTCATATAAACATATTACAATTTAATCAAGTTTCTGACAAAAAAACCAAAAACAATCATTATAATGCAAAGAAATAACAATTTTATAAGAAATCAAAACACATGGAAAAAATAATTAGGTTTTACCTTCAGTTCTAATGACTTTTTTTTTATAAAGGAGAAAATATTTTAAACATGTTCCATGTTATAGAGGTTTAGCATTTCTTTTACTTTTTGTTCTTGGTTAAGATTTTATTCATAAGATTCAAGATTTTATTCATAAGATTCAAGATTTTATTCATAAACTAGTCAGAGACATAATTATGAGAAAGTAAACAATTTTCAAATAGATTATCTCTAAGTTGTTATGTTAATTTTACAAACAATTCTATCCTTTATAGGAACTTTTATCCACCATTTTCTATTTCTAAATTATGACCACTAATTCTTTACTGAGTGAAGCATTTGAGTTTACTGTTTTCATCATAAGTTTTTATTTTATTTTCAAAAATATTCTTATTTTTTTTCTTAAAATTCATTTTTAATCAAGGGCTTTAAAGAATCTAATTCATTCAAGTCCCTGCAATTATTAACTTTCTCTAAAAGGCCCTAGTTGAGTGAAATATTCTTTGCAAATGTATACCAAGAATATGTATCATGGATATGCCAGCCATGCAGTTTAGACAATATAATACACAGAACACAAAAAGTGATTTAATTAATAGACCATAAAAATGTCACAATCTATATAGAAGTGTACTTTATTTTTTCTGGAGACAAATTTTGCCTGTTAACTGACAAAATTAGCCAAACTGAAGATAACATATTTGATAAGTTTACAATTATTTCAAAAAGCAAGACAATTTTTTCTTTAAATAATTTCTTTTCATAAGATTTACTTTATTCAGATCAATATACAGATAAGAAGATTTTTCATTATGAATAGCATATATATCAAAATTTGATGATAACTAGATAGCCATTTGGAAAATTTAAGTCTCTAGTGATTCTTCATGCACAACTCCAGTTTTGAGATTTTGAAAAATATAAAAGATAAACAAAGATAGTTTATTCCTATACATGTACCATATAAATGATATTTTTAGTTTTCCTGAATAATAATCATGAAAATAGATTGTACAACTTTGTTAACAAAATTTATTGTAAAAGGATTGATATTCATGATATTGATAGTTTTAATTAGTTAAGAAACAGGCTTGTTAAATTACTTGCTTCATGGTTCCTTTAAACATATCATTTGCATGATTATAAGTTATAATTAATAATAATTCATTTAGTAATGCAAACAAACAATTGAATACCATGTACATCATGTACAATAACTTTTTTTTACTGTAAAAATAATTATTTAAAGGATTCTCTGTTTTGTTTTCAAATGCTAGTCAATAACTTTACTTTTATCTTTGAATTTTTTTCATTTCTACTCAAGATTCTTTCCAAGAAGAAATTAAAAGAATAAGAAGCCAAAAAAAACAAATAAAACATAAAAAATGACATTATAAAAAAAAGGAAAATATGTAAATTTAAAGACAGAAAAATCAACAAATGATATGAATAAACAAAGTCTTAAACAACATTCTATTCTACATTTTAAAGAAAAGGTGATATGTCAATTTGAGAAAAAACCTGAGTTACCTGTACAGGTAAATTTTAATGAAACATACAAGCTGAAAACCTAAACCCTGATTGATTTCAACAGGTAACATAATTAGATATAACATTAACCTATGTTTTATGACCCCAGTAAATGGCCAACATTCGATGGTGACCATACAAGAGGGTGGACATAACTAAGAGGAAGTCACAGGTTGTACTGTATCCATGAAGACATGGAGGAGTACTTTATTCTGTCGTCTTCTGTCAATTTTAAGACAAATAATACACAGAAAAGTTTCACAGTAAACTGTTTATACTGATTCAGGCAGAATTGCACACGGAATGATGCCTTCGATGATATCATTGACGATGATGCAGCGGATATTCATAAAACCGACACGATAACCGTTTCTGTCTCAAAAAAATCGGATACAGAATCTTTTGAGACGGACTTTATGGAACCAATATCAGTGGTTCAACAATTCGACAGCAGCCTGAAGTATGCCATATTTTCTTTAAATCGTCGTGAAGACGATAAAGATGAAACCATTCCTCCGTGACTTCATGGATACATGTAAACACGCCTGAACGGTGGAAGGACGCGTTTCAAATTTTAAATCAATAAGAAGCCACACAAACTACACAAAGATGTAGAGAAAATGAATATTTGGCTTAAGAAATAAATATATTCTCTCTGTATCAAATCTATCTTCGATTGCAATGAGTATGCTCCTTTAGGATAAGGGGGGCTGTCCCACTCATTGCAATTTTTCTCTCTCTTACAATATTAAATATACCCAAACTGTGAGGCCTGTGTGAATTGAATTGAAATATGTCCTTAGCTAGGAGCTATGATGCCAATTTTTTTATGCAGTCAAAGCATTTGATTTCAGTACAGACCATTTACTTTTAATGGGGTGCTATGGATTTCACCCCAAAGCTAGTCTTAAGATTTTTGTTTGTTTTGATTAAAGCCTGGCATCAACATATCTTTCCAAATATAACCTTTATAACAGTCAGATGTCTAATTTTTTTTTTTTTAAGTTGTCTTTTTTTTCAATTGAGGAAGATTCAATGGTTGATTTTTTTGTTTTTAACACTCCTTTGAATCTTTAATATCTACATTTTTCTCTCTCTACTCAAGAAAACATTCTAGTAAATATGCATATTTGTCAGTGAATATGTTTCTTTACAACAATTCTAGTCATTCCTTGTTTATAAGTGTTCCAGTATTTCATAATACCATACATTTATGTCATAAATTGTATAATGACACTATGTTAAGTTTCAGTTTTGGCTAAAAAGGTGTTTACCTGAAAATGCCTGTTCATTTCATGCTGGTTTTCAGTGTTTGTTGTTTTAAAATGTTTTTTCTTCAAAAGAAACTTGGTTTGTGTTAAAATGGGTGTTTAAACATTATTCTGGCTGATAAAATAAAATATTTTTCCTACCTACCGACCCTGCAGTCTGAAGGTACAGTCGGAAAACTGCAAACAAACATATTTTTAAGGTTGGCCTTATTATATGTCACTGCTGAAGACAAGTGTAAACTATCAGTCTGCACCGTTAGCCACTAGTCTGATGCCCCAGACTAGTGAAATTTTATTCTGACTAATAAGTTTTTGCTAAACTTTGTTCAGCCACATAAGAAAAATGTTGGAAATTGAAGTTCCAACATTTGTGGACAAAATGTTGCTTGAATCAGTGATTTAGAAATCATTCATTTAAGTAAGTCCCCTGACTGGTAACTACTATTGTTGCATTACTCTAAAGGAGAGACTGACAGCGATCCAGTTCGCACATATACGAATGCACAACAAGGAAATTTCATTTTAAACACAACAATGTTGAAAATAAAACTATTGTCAACATATCGATCCCTCTCTAAAACATTTTTTTGTGATTTTCAACAATACACTTTGGGGCAAAGTAGCCGGCTGATTTCCGTGCTATAGACGGAGAAAACTGCAGGCTACCGGCTTCTATTGAAAGCCCTACATTATTTTAAGCTTTTAATTTATGCTGATATTTTCATTTTTGTTTTTTTTTTATATATATTTTCGAGGTCGTATCCAACATGTCCAATATGATCATTTTCTAATTATAGCACTTTTTGACCTGGTTTGAGGATGGAAAATTATTGTGAAAATCTGAAATGACAGATGCCTTACACTAAAGAAATGAACATGTACAAATAAAAGAAAGAAAAAAGGGGATGATAAAGTGTACTTCATTGTACTTAACATTGTTGGCAAACATTAGATTCCTATAAAAATATATGCATATTCCTAACTTACTGATCATTTATTGTGTTTCGCCATATTTTGAATATTGCTGAGTGTATAAATCAAAACATGACATCACAATCATACAAAACTAATGTTCAAATGTTTAAAGGTTTTTTTCTTGTACATGTTATATTATAATATAATTCTATTTACAACATTTGTACAATGTATGTATTTATATATAGCCTCATGATGTTAACACATTTTTTTGCTGGTACATTAATTATTTATATTGTAATCATTTGATAATTCAAATAGCAACATGATGAGTTTATTTACAAGGTAACTTAGAAAACATTTATATCTTTTGTAGTCTAGCTACGGAAAAAAGACAGCTCTAGCAGGAGGGGGTAGAAAAAAGGGAGGTGCCAAACCAGATTTGACAGAAGAACAAAAACAGGAAATTAGAGAAGCTTTTGATTTGTTTGATACAGATGGATCAGGAACAATAGATGCCAAAGAATTAAAGGTAAAATACAGCATGTACAAACAGTCTGCACCAAATTCTTTTCCGACTACTAGTCCAAAGACCAATATTCCCTTATTTTTCTTATGTATCTAAACAAAATTTTGCAAGTACTTACTAATCTGAATAAAGTTTTACTAGTCTGGGGCATCAGACTAGTGGCGAATGGTGCAGACTGTACAGATGTTCCATCTTGTGTCTGAATATTCGTTCAATTATTTCAAATATCTTGAGCTTCTGGTTCCAACGTCTTAAACCTTGGTATATTTTGTAACTAATTATAAGGCATCATACATGTATATATGTAATATTTTTGTAGGTCTGTAAACTAAAGATTATGATGTAAATTTTAGGAATCAATTATTTGAAGTCAGACAATTTTCTTACTTTAATATACTGCAGTTTATGGGGTTAGTTATTATTCAAGGGATACTCATTTTCGTGGGTATAGATAAACCCCAAATTTAAATGTTCAACAAAGTACACATTTCCTGAAGGCATGTATGTATACACACTCAGCAATACATCAAAATCAAATATCCATGAAATAAAATAAAACATGATATAAACTGAATCCATGAAAATAAAATAAAACATGATATATTATCAAAATTACATAAAGGTGAGACATATCTCTGTGTCAACAGATAATTCAGCACAAGCCTGAATACAGTATAATTTTGACAGCAAATAACTGGCACTTTATTTAAACTTATGATAAAATAGTTACGAATGCTTGAAATTGCAGAATTTAACATACATAATGTAGAAAGCAGTGGAGCTAATAAATTACAAGTGTTTTATCTTATAGGTAGCCATGAGGGCATTAGGATTTGAACCAAAGAAAGAAGAAATAAAGAAAATGATACAAGAGATAGATAAAGATGGATCAGGTTTGTTAGCACATCATTTCACATATGATCTGACTTCTTATAGTATATGAAATTGGTTTAATTAAGGCAGCAACACAAATTAAATTGTATAAACATGGTGAAATCACCTGTTTAATAGCTGTGTAACCCTTAAACAAGTATATATACCTATTCTAATTCTAAATCAATTCTGATCATTTAACATGCTATCCAGAATAGTTTATTACTAAGTACTTTTTACCTGTGTGTACAATCAAATAAAAACAAATTCTTATTTATTTTAATTATAAAGAAGGGTTTACTCCATCGTTATTTTTAATCTGTGAATTACTGCTAGTAATTTATACATTTTGTACCAAGCTGTTTATAATACCTAATAATTAACATGATTAAAAGTCATATGTGGACCACTGACTACACATAACATCATCTCAGTTCAGAGTTCTGATAATTATCCCCCTAATTTGCTTACAAGGATCTGAAAACATTCTATTCTTTCTGTTTTAAGAACTTTCAGAATCCTCTGGTTTTGTCTGATTTATACACACCTTCAAAAATTTGAAGGTTGAAATTTCATTGGCTGATGAAATAATTACCATAACAAAAAGTAAAACAGAGTGATTTTAGATTTTGTAAGCAAAGCTTAGACACAAGATCTGTATTTTATCAGATTGACATAAAAAAAAGACATTCTGACAGGAAAATTCAAGTACATACATGACATATAGTAGAAGAAAAAAGTTTCTTTTAAGACTGGGGAAAAAATATTTTGCGTTTAGTCAGGGGTACTACTTGTACAAGTAATCTTTATTTACTTGAAGAAGTAAATTATATTAACTTATATAAGTTAATTATAATGTTTGAATAATCTCCCCTTAATTTTCTTAAAAATTTACTTGTATAAGTAATTTTTTTTTTACAATCCCACAAAAATTCTCAAGTTTTGAGATGTAAAAACATGCCTTTAACAATTTTTCTCAGGTTAGCTCATAATTTTTATGCCCCCGCCGTAGCGGTGGGGGCATTAAGTTTTACCCTTGTCTGTACGTACGTACGTATGTACGTCCGTCCGTACGTCCCAAAATTGGTTTCCGTTCTCTAACTTGAGTTTGCCTCAACCAAATGTTATGAAACTTATACACAATGCTTATTTTCACAAAACACAGATCAAGTTTGAATTTTGGTGGCATCATTTTAACCGTTCTAGAGTTATGCCCCTTTATAAATGGAAAAATTGCAAAATTTTTAGTTTCCGTTCTCTAACTTAAGTTTGCCTCAACCAAATGTTATGAAACTTATACACAAGGCTTATTACCTACAAAACACAGATCAAGTATGAATTTTGGTGGCGTCACTTTAACCGTTCTAGAGTTATGCCCCTTTATAAATGGAAAAAATTGCAAAATTTTTATTTTCTTCTAAATATCAAGTTATTTTTAAAATTGGAGTTATCTTCCTTTGTCCATGATTATAGTTGAATCAACTACAATGAATGCTTTATACAATGCAATGTTTAATTTTGACTTCCACTGATAAAACACAGATCAAGTTGAATTTGGGTAGTGTCACTTTAACCATTATTGAGTTATGCCCCTTTAAAAATAGAAAATTGCTGAATTTTTAGTTTCTGTTCTCTACTTAAGTTAGCCTCAACCAAATGTTATGAGACTTACACACAAAACTCAGATCAAGTTCAAATTTGGGTAGCGTCACTTTTACTGTTCTTCAGTTATGTCCCTTTATAACTATATGATATGCAAGCGGGGGCATCATCTGTGTCCACATGTGGACACTATCCACATTTTTTATTAGAGTTCAATGTTTCATCTCATTAATTCAACAAAGAAACTGATTGCGCAAAGATCTTAAATATTTGTGCAAGGCCTTCAAAAATTGCCCCTTGGGGGCTTGTAAATGAGCAGTGTTCTGAAGATAACAGACAAATGAGATTTTCATTGTCCATGAAATTACACTTAAATGATTAGTAAAGACATCTGCAAAGGACAGACAATTCAAAATTCTATTAGAGCAAAGAAGTCCTAAGAATTCAAGAAAAGAAGATAGGATGACTTTTTTACTTGTATAAGTAAAAATATCTGAATGTCTAAGGGACATAACTAAGCCAAAAAAAATTTACCTATACAAGTAAATAAAATTCACTTGTATAAGTATCCTACAAATTTACTTATATAAGTATATTAATATTTACTTCTTCAGGTAAATAAAAATTACTTGTACAAGTAGTACCCCTGACTAGTGATGAGCCTACACATGGGTACAGTTGTTCAATGATTTTTAAAAATATCCAAACTCTTTTCTGTGAACTTATGTATTATATTTATGTATATATATGGAATATAATAGAAATCTGAGTTACCAGTCTGAAGTTTATATTTCAATTTTTGTTGACCTTTTTTGTAACATTTTTATTCCATGAGTCATGTATGGTATATGTAAAAGGGTTTTAGAAGAATAGTATGAAAATCAGTCAAACCTAGATTTCTGGAACACATTTAATGTACTTCATATGATGAAGACATAATCTTTCAATCAGTTTAATTGAAGTCTGGAGCTGGCATGTCAGTAACTGCTAGTAGTCCTTTGTTAGGAAAAAACCCTGATGTTGCTAAACTTCTGTTGCAACATGCACAAAGTATGGTACAAAATATTCATATTTCTAGGTTTTTTATTTTTCAATTTTTTTTTCAGGTACAATTGATTTCAATGATTTCCTCACCATCATGACACAAAAAATGAGTGAAAAAGACGTGAAAGAAGAAATTCTAAAAGCTTTCAGGTTGTTTGATGATGATGAGACAGGCAAAATCTCATTCAGAAACTTAAAAAGGGTAGCAAAAGAATTAGGGGAAAATCTCACAGATGAAGAATTACAGGTAATTAGCATTGTCATACGATTATTGTCATTAATGTCCAGTGGCAAATATATCATAAAATAAGGAGATTTTGTATGAAAGCCAATGAGTCAACAATCAACCAAAGACACAACAACAAGGATTTAGACAACTACAGGTTGCCACACTGCCTTCAACAATGAGCAAAACGAATGCATAAGTGATAAAGTAAGCTATAAAAGGTCTTAGGATTACAATATTCAAAGCAATTCAAATGAGAAAACCACTACCTGATTTAAGCTTATAACATTTAACAAAAAAAACAATTATGGTTTAATTGTAATAAATGGCAACCACTTGACTACAGGCTCCTGGTTTTGGATTTCCATATATGGTATGGTTGAATATGAAAGTGAGCACTCCTAACCACAACCAGTCAGGGGCATTACTGACATTACTTAAAAAAGATACTTTTCAAAATTACCTATATATATGAAGTTATATTGAAAATGAACTCCATTGGTTATAAAAATATGGTAATGTTGGCTTATTCCTGTCTGTCAGTAAACCTTTGCTAAAGTGGGACTAAAAAAACCTTGCATATGTGTGTCTGAATAAGTTTTATTGGTCTTGGAAGTGTCTGAAGCCTATAAAATTTGGTACTTTCACCCTGGGGTGAGATTAAAACAATACTGTTTAGATGAATTTTAATTGGTCCTGAATTTTATTATAGGAGATGATAGATGAAGCTGACCGAGATGGTGACGGTGAAATCAATCAAGAAGAATTCCTCAAAATCATGAAAAAGACAAGTTTATATTAGAGACATTAGTGTCTATTGTTAGATCTGACTTATCTCACTTTCAAATCATTTTAAAAAAATATTGTGAAGCATTTACCACTATTTCAATGGGACCAATGCATGTGTGATATGATTGTGTTGTTTGAGTGAGTAAATGGTGCTGATAAAGCAATTCTGAGTGAAATTTCAATACAAAATCCACGACTATGTTATATCAATTGCTAGAATAGGTTTTTGTTATGTATTTCAAATAATTCTTTAAATGATCATTTCCCAGTCAATTTCACTCAACATGCAGTTTTATATTGTTTCCTTTAATATTTTTCATTCTGCTTTTAAAATACTGCCATTTTATAATGAAAAAAAAACAACTAAAAATATGGAACTGCACAAAGTATAGTAAAAATGGGAAAAAAATCTTAAAATTATTTTTATGGTTGGTTTTCAATCACAGATTTTTTACCAGTCCTCTATACAAAGAGAAAACTTGATTGAACAAATGGCTTTTTGACTTTCTATTCTATCTTGAATGAAAGAACCAGGTGTGAGCTGCCAGCAAACAGATGCAATTGGACTTCACATACTTTGTTTAGTTTAAATGTCATCTGAATTAGACATTTCCAAGTTATTTTATTTATTTCATATATATAAATTTGTACTTGTTATTGTATATGTGTACTTTATTGTAAATAAGTAAAAATAAATAAATTTTTAATGAAAAGTCAAGGAATTTAAGTTTTTGATATATAAAACATATACATGTAACAGGAAGTACCAAAAATATTGGACATTACGACACTATCCACCAATTGATAGACATACACACAACAAACAAACCTTAGTCAAACCAGAAAGCCTGACTTGGTAAAGGCACATACATATTGATTACTCTTCTTGTAGGTGTTCAATTTACTTATCATGCTAATGAAACAGCACTTCGATTATGAAAATCAGTCAAACCTAGATTTCTGGGACACATTTAATGTACTTCATATGATGAAGACATAATCTTTCAATCAGTTTAATTGAGGTGTAGAGCTGGCATGCCAGTAACTGCTAGTAGTCCTTTGTAAATTTATGTTATCATTGTCATTTTGCTTAGTTTCTTCTGTTACCTATTCTAATATCGGACTCAGACTTCTTTTAAATGAGTTTTACTGTGCTTATTGCTGTGTGTTTGTTTATTCTACACTGGCTAAAGGTATAGGGGGAGCGTTGAGATCTCACAAAAAATGTTTAACCCTGCCGCATTTTGCGCCTGTCCCAAGTCGGGAACATCTGGCCTTCTTTAGTCTTGTATGTTTTTTTTATTTGATTCATTTATATGTTTCGGAGTTTAGTATGACGTCCATTTTCGCTGAACTAGTACACATTTTTGTTCAGGAGCCAGCTGAAGCCCGCCTCCGGGTGCAGGATTTTCTGGCTGTGTTGAAGACCCATTGGTGGCCTTAGGCTGTTTTCTGCTTTTTGGTCGGGTTGTTGTCTCCTTGACACATTCCCCGTTTCCATTCTCAATTTTATTATTTGTGTTTTATTCTTTACTGTGAAGTTCATTAATTACAACAACCTAACACGATTTTATGACACCATTTTTATTTTCATTGCACATACACAAAAAATAAAAAACAGTTGGAGAAGAAAGACTTTAGGTATTAAGGGACATAACTCTTAAAAATCACTAATACACTTTTGAGGATTATTTATAGAATAGATAATTTTGGACCAAGACCACAGAAAAATGGGCCTAAGTAATAAAGAATAATGAATACTGGGCTGCTTATATAAAAGATTAGAGAGTAATTGGCAAAATGAATATAGAAAAGAGAAAAATGGCCTAAACATTTAAAGAATACTGAAATAAAGATTCCCTCATCCAGACTCATACTCGTGTCAACCATTTTGAAAAACTATTAAGCTTCTCAGTATGTTAAAACACATAGAAGAAACTGTTTAACAGAAACACACTACAGCTTAAGAGAGATATCACCTTTAAGTCCAGTGTAAAAAGACTGTCATTTGAATACCCAGAGTTTAAAAATACTATATAAGAAATGGCATAATAATTAGTGTGCTACAAAATCAAACAATTTACATGAAATACTATCTACTATGAATTACATTTAGTCATTTGTGTGCTGATATTGGTTGTTTTTTGGAAATCACATTTTGATTTTCAAATCAAATGAAATGAATATTTTTTATGAATTTGATATGTAAAATTACATATTCTAAACCCAGAAATTGCTCTTTGTCAACAAACTATAAGCCTGGTGAAAATTGATATTCATCATTTCTTTCAAATACTTTTATATTATATGCTGTATCTGCTACATTGCAATTTTGTGTTTCAAGTATAAAAATGAATAAAGACAAAAGTAGGATCATTTGTTTATATTACTTTATTGAAGATCTCAAACTTCACCACATAATTCTTTAAAACCTGTCTTCCGTTGTAGAATCTTTTATTTACCAATCAAATATGCTTCTATTTACAAAATACTGAAATCAGAATTTCTTTGGTGAAACATTTTCATTGTTACTGTAATATACTCATGGATAATGTTTTTCAAAGTATAACTTGTTATCTATCTTTCCTGGTTTAGGTAAAGGACTTTCTTCATAAGTCAGTTTTGCTATTGGAGATGTCAAATTGAGACGCCAGTAGGCATCATTGTAGTACAAGAAGAAAGGATCATTTCTTTCAAATATATCATATAAATCTTCTAATATTTCTATAGCTAATTCTTCCCATTTTTTCTGTGACTGGAATTTAGTGTAAAACTTCACTATATTTTGTGCAAAAGTCTGCATTGTTTTATTTGCATTTTTATCAAACACTTCTGCAGAAGTTCCTAAATATTCTGGTTGAGCAGAATAGAGATTAATTTTGGTATAATTCAAATTAATACTTTGATTAAAACTGACACCAAGTCGACCAAATTCATCCAAGGCACGTATCACCCAGCTAGCACAGTCAAAAGGCTGAAACCAAGTATTCCCATCTGAAACAAAACAAAAAATTCCAAGTGAAATTTGAATAATGAAATACATGTACAGTAAATTATTGAGAATTGTTTCAAATGATCTCACATTTTATATTATGATAGTAATAGAGTGGAGAATGGAAACGGGGAATGGGTCAAAGAGACAACACTCGACCAAAGAGCAGAAAACAGCCACAGGCCACCAATGGGTCTTGCATGCAGTAATTTCTAAAAAAATGATATCTTTGATGGCTTATCTAGCAATATGTAATGTTACGCTTACCTCTGCTATTCATAGCATATATGAATGAAAGAAGTTTTAGGGTTCACATCAATGAAACAGTCCCACATATATCTATATTTGATGCAAGAAGACAGTGTCAATCTTACTTCACCAGATGTGCACTATAATATGTTATGTCTTTTTCAGTGTTGCTTAAGTAAATCAAAAACCTATTACACTGTTTAAGAGCTGATAAAACCAAAAAAAGGACCCACTGTGAAGCCAAACTGGGACATGCAATCTGAGTTGTGCATGAGGCAGCTGCGGAACCATAGCTCTTAGGTCCTTATGTTATTTTTTGACTATTTGCAGACCTCTTAGGTCTTTATGTTATTTTTTGACTACATGTATTTGCGGACTGCAAAATAAAAAAAAATATAAAAAGGACCATAAGAGTTACGGTTCCGCAGCTATGCATGGGGAAGATACATTTCTAAATTTAAAATGATTTTCAAAATTTTATAACCGCAAATTTCAATAATGCCAGTAGAGCTATTGGGTTGGTGGAAAGAATAAAAATAAGATGCGTCCGCTAGTATATATTATTAAACAAATAAGTTATGCTTCATAAATTCTAGGGCAACACATAACTGTTTTACTTGATTACAAGCATAATATTGAAACTTCTTTATTTTTTATGAAAAAATATCAAAATAGAATATGGACTTGATTTATTGTATGTTACTTTGAGTTTCATTTTTAGAATTTATGAAAAAAATAGATTTTTATAAAAATTTTGCGGTCGTATATTGGTATCACGTCATCGTCGTCGTCAGTGTCGTCCGAAGACATTTGGTTTCTGGACAATAACTTTAGTAAATGTAAATAGAAATCTATGAAATTTAAACACAAGGTTTATAACCACAAAAGGAAGGTTGGGAATGATTTTGGGAGTTATAGTCCTAACAGTTCAGGAATTAGGGGCCAAAATAAGCATTTTTCTAGTTTCCAGACAATAACTTGTGGAACGGTGTATGGATCTCTCTGAAATTATACCACAAGTTTCCATACCACAAAGGGATGGTTAGGATTGGCTTTGGGGGGTTATGGCTCAAACCGTTAAGGAATTAGGGGCAAAAAAGGTGGAAAAACAAGGGTTTCCTGGTTAATGGACAATTAAAAAAAAGTACAATGTTATGTTTGGATTACCTCCTTTACACTGCTTTTAAATTATATATAAAGAAATGTTGGATTGTCTTGAGGTGATTAGCTGTCAATTTATTTTTAGAAGTTACTATGTATTTAAATGGGTAATTATGGTTGCAAACTCCATCGGAAATTTGAATTGAGATTATGACCATATCTTGAGGGAAAGAGTTTTTTTTCTGGAAAAAGGGGTGGGGGGGGGGGGGGGGGGTGTGAAAAAATGGGGGGAGGGGAATTGTGTGGGGGGGACAATTTTTTCTCATTTAAGATTTCAGAAATTAATTTTTTTTTTTGCCAAAGAAAGGGGGGGGGGGTTAATTTTTATTTATTTTTTTGGGGGGGGGGGGTCAATTCGCAACAGCATAGTGTATTGCACAAACGCAAAAAATTGAATATAAATTCAAATCATATAACCAATTCTAAGTTTGACTACAGTTATTCTGTGTCAGAAACCTATTATGTTTCAAATATTTAATTACAATCCAAATTCAGACCTGTATCAAGCGCGAATATTGTGTCCATTCTTTGTCCCAACTGTTCAGGGTCGGACCTCTGCAGTCGAATCCAGCTGCGCTCGGCGAAGCAATTTATTTCTTATCGAATGGAGACTACTGTAAATTCAGAATTTATTGCGTGCATTTATTTTTGCGATTTTTGAAAAATTACCAAAAATGCGAATTTTGGAAAAGCTACATACAGATATATGTTTTTGATATCAGAATGCGAGTTTTTATTATTGCGATACTCAAGTAGTCGCGTTATTCGCATTAATAAAACCCTCGCTATAATTTCTGAATTTACAGAACCTATTTGTTATCTATGATTTAAGTACAAACCTGGTTTATCTTTCACAGTCCATGTTTCGTAGAACAGACCAGTCCTGTTATCCCAAAGCACCCAGTCAGAAAAACTATTGAAAACTGATCCTGAATATAGAAATACAAAATACTGAATACGAATATACAGATGATGATGATGGATGGCTGATTAACGTCCAGAGGCAAATTAATATGCATATTCAGGACGAGAACATGTTAATGTAATATGAATATTAACCCTGCTCTGTACTAGACCGACACGCTGAGCCGGATTTAATTATAACGTGCTTGTTCACAAGGTAACAGTCCGCAGGAAAACAAGTTACCTTACCCGGACACATTATTCTGACTCCGAGCCGACCAGTCTTTGCTCTTTCTCCTTAATGTCGCGTGCTTAGCGGAGAAGCAGCCAATAAATTATCACTCTTTTGGTCCTTATTATGCTTTGAAAATAAGAAATTTGTAAACTTAAGAATACAGTTTTCCAGTAACTTTAAAATTTACCTTGATGTTCATCTCACAATTTGACTGTATCACCGATTACATTTATTAGACAGCACTAATAGGGAATGTTTTGTACCATTTTGACTAAATGAATAAAAGAGTAAGTTTAAAACAAAATACTCTGTGTAAATATCCGCCCCTGTCCATCTTTGCTAGCCAAGACGTAATATTCAGCCCCATGAAAGAGGAGGCGAGCGGATCATAACCCTTAGCTAGCAAAGATTGTCACTGTCCTACATACACTGGTTTTCCAATGTTAGACTTAATTTCCCGTCCTTTATCCTGTATGACCCACTTTGCAGGATCAACCTATTAAAGTTCTGGCTAATTTGTTCTTGCCTCAAACATGCATGTGAGCCAAGGCTCCGTATTGAAGGCCGTACTTTGAACTATAATTGGTTACTTTTAAAAAAAAGTTTTTATACATTGTGACTTGGATGGAGAGTTGTTTCATTGGCACTCATACCACATCTTCTTATTTATATGAACTGTTTACTGCTGGACGTTATGCAAACAACAATCAATTTTGCTCATGCTGGTACTTTATTTAAGTGAGTGTTTGCAGTGTCGAGTCCTTGAATTAGGGCGAACTCCTCTCCCCTGTAAGAAATGTGTGTCTTAGTGATTTCAGTCGGATTTTTTTCTGCTCCTTTCATTTTAAATCTAGACCTCTACTGTTTTGCGATAGCTATTGTCATAGAAACAGTCTGTAACACATCTCTACTCTGAAACTATATGCAAACAGATTGTTTTGGGGTTGCTTGTCATTATATATTAATCCTACAGAATCCTGTTTTCGAACGCTTAGTACCTGTAGTTGTTGCTATTTTTGCTAATGTTCCATTTTCCGACCACAATCTGTCCTTGATTCCAGGGTAGATGCACACAGCTCCTTGATTACACCACTGTATTGTCTCATTTTTAAGCACATGTGCAAACGTACAGTTCATCAGTTGAAATAGCTCATACCATTCCATGGTGTAATTCATACCAGTGTTTACATTTTTAAATCCTAAAGCATCGTGCATTATGTTCTGAAATTGATAAAGTGAAACCAACCACACATTTTATTGATGTAAAACCAAATAAACTACATGAATGCGTATTGTTAATACTTTTCTATAATCACAGTAAATATCACATTTCATGTTTGAGTCGCTTACTGAAGAGTGTTTTGCATTGATATCAATTTTTCCCAGAAATGCGAGATATATGTAGCTGCGATGTGGACATGCGGTTCTGTCTTACATCATGTACATCAAAAAATTTGTGGATAGAGTTGAAATGATTTTAATTTGTTCTTCTCTCTGCATGCGGCAAAAAAAAAAACAAAAAAAAACAACTTTACAGCAACAGTTACTAGTCAACAAGGACTTATTTGGTGGCCGATTGGAATGCAAAATGTAATACTTAAAGCAGACAAGAAATTTATGATGATTATAGAAAAAAAAAACATATCATGTATTTCTTTCTTCAAGCGAGTCCCTCCCACTATCTTCTTTATTCGATATTTTAAGAATAGTCATTTATTTTTTTAGTTTCACATTAGAGTTTACTCCATATTTGTAAACAGATCTAACAAGACTTGAACAACGTTCGAGTCGTTTATAATTGAAATTCAGTTTCAACGTTAACTTGGTTAAGGTTAGACTTGAACTTTAAAATATATAATAAGCATCCTGCTGTTCTTACTGCAATGAACATGATTGTGCTATGTCGCCTCTGGTACTTCAAATACTGCAACTTAGATTAGCTATGTTTTGATTCTGAATTTTAGGTACACCATTTTGTTGTTGAGAAAATAGAAAAGTAGATATACTTATGTGATAAATGATGTAAATTAACTTACTAATTTTCCAAGGACATCACCAAATTTAAATTGCCAGACGGGTTTCTTCAGAGCATATATTTCTATGACATCACCGGGATTGAATTCGGGCATGATATTATCTGGCTCGCCCGTCGGGCAGAAAGAAATGACACCTGCATTACAGTATGGGTTCGACTGAGGTCTTACAGTATAGCGTCTAGAATTATATAACATATTAAAATTTGAATAATACATACTAACAAGTCAATTGCGATGATTACACGATTGAGGCGTACGTTTCATTGGATTGATATGGCATACTCTATTATCATATATATCTTTCCATGGCATCTTAAACATACATTTTTAATTTTCAATTGCCTCCTTAACTGTTTTACTATTCGGACTTATACCTAGCTAGTGACATATTTCTGACTTTCTTATAGCTGGCACAAAGTTTTGAAATTTTACAACATCTATAATTGAACTATTTCATGATGCTGAACAGTTATTAAACAGTTATCACACAAAAACTCATCCTTGTACTCTGTATAACACAGTTGACAAACCTTAAACTTCTCAAAGGAAAAATGGTTATGTTGATGTTCTTCATCATAACTTGCCTACACCATCACCCCCGTTATGCATGTTTAGGTGACCGTCCATCGTGGCAATTAAGTTCCGAACGAACGGCCCACAACCCACAAGTTTTATAGTGGAATTCTATGCAAGATGATCGATCGACAATGCTACAGTTTGTTCATTATAAAATGTTGAAGACTACACGTGTGCGATGTAGTTACGAACTATAAATATAATGCCAAAAACAAAACTGGGCCGGAAGAAAAAATTAAAGTACTGTCAAAAAAAGCTTATTGTTTATTCACGGAAATGACCTCTGGATGCTATCGGTCATGAGAGTCGACGACTACATAATGTTTTATCATATTTTAAACCACTTAACTGGATTCTTAGTATGCGAAGTATTTTATGCAACCAGCTAAGTTAACTCTATATCCCCATGTCTCTTACATCTAGACAATAGATACAAATCATTTTATTCCTTTTAGACTTCTCTAAGTTAAATCTTATATTTTGAAATCATCATGATCATTCAAACTCACTTTTTTAAGATTAAATTTAATACTATTGAAATTTCAAAAAAAAAAATTAGATTTTAATTCACTCAAAAAATGAGGGTTCCTACGCAATATATAAGGCCCTATATATATATATATATATATAAACAAGTCTAAATTGAAAACAACGTTCAAACCTATGATTGCGTTGGATAAAAACCGCAATTTTTATACGTGTGCATGCAAAACAAATTTCTTGTTAGAGGGGTCTAAATACAGCACAAACAACATTTTCCAAAAGACCAAAAAAGTGAAAAAGTATATTTTAACAAAACGCATTTGACTAACAGGTCGAACAACAAATGTTCTTAAACCCTGCTGACTGCCATTGGCGATTGCCAAATAAACGGATCACCGATGTAATAAATGGATCTTAATTAAAAATTTAATACTAAACAGAAAACAATAAACTTGCGGAAAAGATGATATACCGCAAACAAAAGGTGCAAAGGTTTTTGTACACCATATCCGGATTTCGACAATTAATGTCTCTTCAGTGATGTTAGGAATCGAAACGGTATTTGGAAAGCCATACAATTTACCTCAATTTAGGATAGACTCTTGAATTTTGAGGAGTCAAAATAGGATGAACGGATCATATAAACCCAAAGGCAAATATAATACAAGCCCAAACGAAAAAATATAAACAAGTCTAAATTGAAAACAACGTTCAAACCTATGATTGCGTTGGATAAAAACCGCAATTTTTATACGTGTGCATGCAAAACAAATTTCTTGTTAGAGGGGTCTAAATACAGCACAAACAACATTTTCCAAAAGACAAAAAAAGTGAAAAAGTATATTTTAACAAAACGCATTTAACTAACAGGTCGAACAACAAATGTTCTTAAACCCTGCTGACTGCCATTGGCGATTGCCAAATAAACGGATCACCGATGTAATAAATGGATCTTAATTAAAAATTTAATACTAAACAGAAAATAATAAACTTGCGGAAAAGATGATATACCGCAAACAAAAGGTGCAAAGGTTTTTGTACACCATATCCGGATTTCGACAATTAATGTCTCTTCAGTGATGTACGTTAGGAATCGAAACGGTATTTGGAAAGCCATACAATTTACCTCAATTTAGGATAGACTCTTGAATTTTGAGGAGTCAAAATAGGATGAACGGATCATATAAACCCGAAGGCAAATATAATATAAGCCCAAATGAAAAAAAAAATAAACAAGTCTAAATTGAAAACAACGTTCAAACCTATGATTGCGTTGGATAAAAACCGCAATTTTTATACGTGTGCATGCAAAAAAAAATTCTTGTTAGAGGGGTCTAAATACAGCACAAACAACATTTTCCAAAAGACCAAAAAAGTGAAAAAGTATATTTTAACAAAACGCATTTGACTTACAGGTCGAACAACAAATGTTCTTAAACCCTGCTGACTGCCATTGGCGATTGCCAAATAAACGGATCACCGATGTAATAAATGGATCTTAATTAAAAATTTAATACTAAACAGAAAACAATAAACTTGCGGAAAAGATGATATACCGCAAACAAAAGGTGCAAAGGTTTTTGTACCGTGTCCATATCCGTATTTCGACAATTAATGTCTCTTCAGTGATGTTAGGAATCGAAACGGTATTTGGAAAGCCATACAATTTACCTCAATTTAGGATAGACTCTTGAATTTTGAGGAGTCAAAATAGGATGAACGGATCATATAAACCCGAAGGCAAATATAATACAAGCCCAAACGAAAAAATATAAACAAGTCTAAATTGAAAACAACGTTCAAACCTATGATTGCGTTGGATAAAAACCGCAATTTTTATACGTGTGCATGCAAAACAAATTTCTTGTTAGAGGGGTCTAAATACAGCACAAACAACATTTTCCAAAAGACCAAAAAAGTGAAAAAGGTATATTTTAACAAAACGCATTTGACTAACAGGTCGAACAACAAATGTTCTTAAACCCTGCTGACTGCCATTGGCGATTGCCAAATAAACGGATCACCGATGTAATAAATGCATCTTAAGTAAAAATTTAATGCTAAACAGAAAACAATAAACTTGCGGAAAAGATGATATACCGCAAACAAAAGGTGCAAAGGTTTTTGCACACCATATCCGGATTTCGACAATTAATGTCTCTTCAGTGATGTACGTTAGGAATCGAAACGGTATTTGGAAAGCCATACAATTTACCTCAATTTAGGATAGACTCTTGAATTTTGAGGAGTCAAAATAGGATGAACGGATCATATAAACCCGAAGGCAAATATAATACAAGCCCAAACGAAAAAATATAAACAAGTCTAAATTGAAAACAACGTTCAAACCTATGATTGCGTTGGATAAAAACCGCAATTTTTATACGTGTGCATGCAAAACAAATTTCTTGTTAGAGGGGTCTAAATACAGCACAAACAACATTTTCCAAAAGACCAAAAAAGTGAAAAAGTATATTTTAACAAAATGCATTTGACTAACAGGTCGAACAACAAATGTTCTTAAACCCTGCTGACTGCCATTGGCGATTGCCAAATAAACGGATCACCGATGTAATAAATGGATCTTAATTAAAAATTTAATACTAAACAGAAAACAATAAACTTGCGGAAAAGATGATATACCGCAAACAAAAGGTGCAAAGGTTTTTGTACACCATATCCGGATTTCGACAATTAATGTCTCTCTCTATATATATATCCATTAGTCAAGACTATGAAACCATGTAACGTTTAGTATTGCAACTGGAAATGTTTAACTGCATGCAGATAAAGCAAACAAAAGTCTTATCATCAAAGAGTTTTATCCATTTTAAAATAATATAAGTTTTATAATTTCTTGTCAGACGGATGTACATGTGTACAGTGTAAATACATGAAATTACCATTTTACCTTTGTTTTATTCAATTAACATTTAACTATATTAACAAGGTAAATTGAATCAAATTAAATTTATTTTTAAAATAAACGCATATATTTTTAACGAGGTGACTCTGCAAATACGGTGAAGAAGAAGAAGAAGAAGAAGAAGAAGAAGAAGAAGAAGAAGAAGAAGAAGTTTTTTTCTTTAATTTTTGAAATAAGTAACAGTAAAAGTTCAATGATAAGTTAATATTGACATTAAAAGACCTTCGAACAATTAAAGGAATGTTGAGATCCCCGAGCCCGAAGTGTTTGTATTGATATTAAAACACACCGATCCTGATCTTCATGTTATCTTTTCCGTATATTTTACCTGGCCATATCCGATTACAATACAGATTTTAGAATTAACTTACTTGTATGGAGCTGGCCAAGGACCTGCAAGCGAAGTTCCTGCTAAAAATACCATAACAAAACAAACTAGTATCCCATATTTATCCAGAACTGTATCCATTTTGCCAATTGTTTATTCGGAAGTCATAAATGCTCTATTTATGATTTAAAATCGGGTTATGGCGGAAGTTCTTCAGAATTTACCACAAGGTTTTGATCACAGTTTTGTTATCTTTAAGTTTTCGTCACAATTAGTGTTACAAAATCGTATAACTATCTTAATCAGATTATAGGTAATCAAATATTGTCACAAGATTGTCCTGTATTCATCACGTGGTGTACATAGGTCAGGACTGCTGGTTATGTACAGGTGTCTAATGTTATCAGTGGGACAGCCTAATTTAATTATATACTGACACTGCAGTAGTCCAATGTCAACGCCCATTATGTCTACACCTTAAGAGTATTACATGCCAGTATTAGCACACTTGACAACAAGGGAGGGTCCTGAAAGGTTTCAGGGATGGGTGGGTGTCACAAATAGGAACCAGATGCAGATCCAGGATTTTGAAAAAAGGGGGTATACCGGTACCCCCAAACTAGGCAACAATAGGAGTAGATCATATAAAAAGTTTATGAATTAACCATGTATGTAGCTCTATTAGGGGGCTTTGTCTGCCCATAAAGCCTCCTGGGGAACTTTCAAAATTTTACAATTATATAGATTGCCAGAAATAGAACCACATAATTTTTATTTAGAACAATATCCCACTTGGCCTTTAACAATGGAATTTATTATGGATAATATTTGTTAACAATAATGAGAATGAATGATAAATCATTGGAATTTTGGCATCACCATGACCACAGTTGCAAAAAAAAAATGATGTTCAGAATAATAAGTACATACGATTTAACTATTTTAAAACATCATCATAATCATGATGATCATGATAAATAAAATTGGTTTTAGAAATACACAAATTTTTTTTTAGTGAGAATTGTCTCTTCATTTTCACATCTCCACATCAAAGGAGTGAAATTAAATTTCTGAAATTTACTTCACATTTTTAATAACAATGAATACACATGGTAATTCTTATCTTTTAGGATGTGATCACACAATTGATATATTAAACAGACTACCAACTGAAGTTTTCTCAGATATTGTAAGTACTTTAGGACAGAAAAAATAAATTCTGAACAGAAATCCCATCCATTTCGGAAATATTTTGAACATTTTCATAAAAAAAGAATTTATCTTTTAATGTGAAAAGTTTGAATGCATGGTACTTACATGACTTATGCTGATTAGCTGGCCATAATAAACATGATAAAGAGATAAGAAAATATTTAATTATGTTATGTTTATCTGTATATGATATGCAGGTGCACACGACTCCAATCTTAATTGACTAGGATTGTCAGTTTTCCTACTGAAAGTCTGTTGTTTTTTCTGGGGACTCCGACTTCCTCCACCAATAAAAACTGACCACCACAAAAGAGCACAATAGTGTTGAAAGTGGTGTTCAACACCAATCAATCAATCAATCTGTATATGATAAAGTGTCATATAGGAAATATTTGTAAAAAATTCAATGATTGTAATGATGATTATGAGGAATTACAGACAAAACCATAGCCAAAGGAAAATGACAAAAGACTAAGTGCAAAATCATTATTCAGAAAACAAAAAATTTAAAGAATTCAACATGCTTGTTGAAGGTATTTTAATAAGCATACAGTTTTTCCATGAGGGAAAAGAATTAAAAAAAGAATTAATCTTGAAAGTTCAATAGAGTATTTAACATAGCCTTCAGAAAATCACCAGGGGAGCCTTGCAATAATTGTTTACATTATAAATATTAGAATAAGGAGATGGGGTATGATTGCCAATTAACAAGCTATGCATTGGAGACCAAAGGCTTCAAGCTCATGGTGACCAAAGAAGGATTGATGTACTTTAAAGAAATAGTATAAAGGTACAAAATTTGATGTCTCCCATTGAAAAATAACTTTTCACTTTTATTTTTCAGTGCCATGATGTTTTATTTTTCGTACAGTTAAAAATTCCAGCAATTGATGTTGAAACACTAAGAGAAGTAAGTTTTTTTTTGTATGAACCTATATGTTAGATGAATAGGAATTTCTAGATTCTAATTGTCGCATCCACTTCATTTATGTGCATATGACCAAACTCAGTAAAGACATGTCATTGTTACATTTGGTTGATACTTTCAACAATACCTTCCGTTATCTAGATGATATTTTTTCGTTAAACAATCCAGAGTTCTCTAAATATACTACAGAAATTTACCCAAAAGAACTTACTTTAACTAAATCTAACATAAACAGCAGTAGTTGTCCTTTTCTGGATTTGGACATTTCAATCTCTAAAGGAAAACTCCATACTAAAATTTACGACAAAAGAGACGACTTTTCATTCCCTATTGTTAATTTTCCTTTTTTAGAAGGCGATGTTCCTTTGGCTCCATCATACAGTGTTTATGTATCCCAACTCGTTCGTTATGCCCGTGTGTGTAGTGATGTCATAGATTTTAACGAACGTAATCAATGCATCACTGGTAAATTATTAAGTCAGGGATTTCGTTACCATAAATTACGTAAAACTTTTACTAAATTCTTTCATAGATACAAAGATTTGATTAGTAAATTTGGCTGTATCTGTAGAAAACTGATTAAAATTGGTATTTCACATCCTAAATTTTACGGTAATATTGTACTTAAAGCGTGGAAATCACTATGTGATCCGTGTAAACTCATCGAACCTTTAAACAAACTTATTAGTAAAGGTTATCTTACCAATGTTGTAATTAGATCTTTGAATATCGTTTACATTGGCACTAATATCGATTTTGTCATCAGCAAATTAAAACATAACTAAATTTGTATTCTTTTCAAACGGGATGTATAAGACACACCCACGTTCATTTTGATCTATAAAGAGGTTAAACTCCTAACTATCTTACTGTCTGTCGATACATTTATTTTTGGCATTGCACAAGTCATGTCTTCTTTGACTGTCCATGACGTTGAAATACTAAATCCCTGGGATGTGTTTTAGTTGATTTTAGTCTTTGATGCATGATTTTTTATTGGAAAATGACGCTATCAGCGGCATGTTTCCGATACCATTGACCAGAACTAACGGAAGTTGATTATGCCTCCGCCTACCGCACTCGGTTTCATATTTACTATTTTACATACTAACTTGAATCTGCGTGTATTACGCTACACTCGAACAAAGTCTTTGTTAAAGTGTTGTAGTCGGACGGGAACCAGTTTACATACGTTATTTTATTTACCAAAAAGATATCTTGACCTGTCCATATGTTTTTTTGTTATTAAATGGTATTTGGAGCTATCCCTTTGTTATATTTTTCATATTTATTTGAGCTTTCACTTTTATGCACATGTCTTACAATCGTAAACAATCGGTATGTATACATGATAAATAGATCCGTTTTGTTATGGTGTTGGACTTTTTACCCTCCAATGATCAGCAATCGCTAGACAAAATAGTTCTCCTAAATAATGTCAGCCTTTCATGCCATTTCAACTTTACAATCATTAAAAAAGTAATAATCGGAATCATTTTGATATCCATTGGATAGAAACTGGTCTTTATCAAGATTTACGAAGATTTTAATAATCGGAAATTAGTAATACGGTTATACCCACGCGGTGCGTATGAATCTTTGTTCACAAAGTTATAGCAGCAGAGTCTGTAACTGTATCATTATTAATTAACTACACTGTTATTGTACTTAAAATGATGAAAACTGCATATGCAATATAAGATGTCAACTCGGCCAATACAGATTTTTTTCCGTATTGGCCGAGTTCTGATCCGGCCAAAACAGGATTTCGGAACGTCTCTAGTTTTTAGATCGTAAGTCACGATAAACTCAAACTGAAAGTAAACAGTTGTTTGTACGACGCAGTTTTTATTTACTCACCATAAACAAGCTGAAACGTTCAGTATGGCATATATTTTAGGTTAAAGACGGTCCCATTCATTTGAAAAGCATGTTGAAAGTAGACGATGGAAATATTTTAGGTTTAGGGAACGAGTAAATTATCACAAAGTTCATTTCTTGACGACCTCATAATTTCATCATGTCGATTTTTACTGTTCACTTTCGCTTCTCATGTTTTGTAAACGGTCTTTTATTTTTAAACCCGAACCAGGCATATGCATTCTGTAATTGCGCAAATCTTCGTTCTTTGGTCAATTGGCTTATGGATAGTTGTATCAATTTCAACTCTTACATTATTTTTTTTAAAAATATATTTGCATTACTCATGCAATGGCAGTACCTTTCCAATTACTATTTATGTGTTGTGTCTAAATTGAAGTTGTAACACTTTATAGTGACTGGAAAGGGTAGAAAAATTCATCAGATGAGAAAAGGCTGAAGATGCATGGAAACGGCACCAAATCATTAGATATTGCATCTTATAAAAAGAAACTGAGATTTGGATAGTTCCACTTCAAGGTAAAAATGTTTATCTCTTGTGAAATGAAATAAAAAAATATTGTAACACTGTAGTTAATTAATAAAGATACTATTACATGTATTTCTGTATTGGCCTTATTGTTGGTCCTCGGCCAGCAGTATTGGCCTTCGGCTTCGCCTCAGACCAATACACCAAGACATGGACCAATAACAAGGACAATACAGAAATACTTACGCAATAATATTATAGAATGACAGTATGGTTCAATAGCGGGAATCAGCCCCTCAACTACTTTTTACATAAATATTAACTTCTGGCTTCAACTCCTTGTTCGTCTTGTCTGGAGATCTTGTTGTAGTTCCAGTTAGGCAAGCATTTTAGAGACGTATCCCGTCCATCCTCTCTTGACTTGTAATTTCTGGTGATAGATTTTGCCGCTTGACGTTGTATCTTTTCAAGCTTGTTTTTTTTTTGTTACCGTGTAGGGGTCCCATACTATGGCTCCATATTAAATTGTAAGATCCATTCCTAAAGGTCTAGATCATTGTTCTAATCTGACACAAATTTCAATAACTGGAATGCTACCTGAGTTGAATATATGGTGACCTACTATAACAGCATTATCACTATTGGAATTGT